CAAAAGAGAAATTCGCTATATTTTACAATTTTTCTTCGATCAAGGCGAAAAAGCGGACAAAGCGGTGAAAAAAATTTATTTAGTTTATGGGCCCAATACTGTATACGAACATGTAGCACAAAAGTGGTTTGCTACGATCCGTTCCGGTAAGTTCGATGTCAAAGATGCACCAAGCATCGGGAGGCCTGTCGTCGAAAATTGCGATAAAATCATGGAAATAGTGGAAACAGACCATCACATGAGTACTTAGTTACTTGCTGAGGAAATAAATATAAGGCAGAAAACCATTTGGAACCATTTGCTTAACGTTGGATTCAAAAAGGAGCTCGATGTTTGGGAGCCATGCGAACTAACGCAAAAAGACATGATGGACCGAATTTCCATTTGCGAATCGCTACTGAGTCATAACAAAATCGACCAGTTTCTGAAGCGGATTGTGACTGGCGATGAAAAATGGGTCACTTACGACAACATCGAGCGCAAATAGGTCTTAATGCACCCACCTTATAGTACGGATCTGTCACCAAGTGATTACTATCTTTTCCTGTCCATGGCGAAAGCGCTTAATGGTGAGAAGTTGGCATAAATCGGACAAGTGTACACAAAGCTATCATATTTTGGAAAATCAATAAAAAAAAACGAACGAACTTTTTACTTGACCTACAACTTATGTATGAATGTTTGTGCTCATTTAAATTGAACCGATTTTTTAAAAATCAAAATAAATTAAAAGTTGAAGAAATCAAAAAAAAAATATATTTAAACAAATCAACTATTTTCTTATCTTTTTATCTTCTCATTGAGATATTCACACATATGTTTAGAAGAATAAAATATTATTTATGTTTTTTTTTCACTCTCGGCTGATAATCGACTTTGTGCACTTTTTAAAATTGATCGTTAGGTATTCATGTTTACGAGCATCTCCCTCGCAGCTAATTTCAATCCACTTTATTTTCTACCCCTGCAAAACTTGTTGTTGGTAAAAACATAAAACTATTGACGTACATACAAACCAAAAATTTATTTGAAATTAATAATACATAATTTTTACAAACATACAAAGTTTAAATATATTTTAAATATATTTGCATATAAAATTCTTGAAGTATTTAAAAATATGTACACATGTATTATTATATACGTATGTAACTATAGAAATGAATGTAACCATTTATGTAATTATATATATATATATATATGTACATTTGCCATATTTCATTAAATTGCCCACAAGCTGGCGGTCTATTCAGTTTCGTTGCTTCCTCCACTGCTGCCGCCCCTGCTGCTGCTAAGAATAATTGCTTTGTTGTCTGAACTGTCTATTCTCTCTATTCATTTCATTCCGTCGCCGTTTGCGTTGCTCACAGACAATTGTTGTTTATTTGTTGACTGGAATATTTTATGATATTTTCTAAACATTTTTCCCCATTAAAATGTCGTGAATAATGGAAGGCAGTTGAACGTAGTGGGTAGAGCGGAGAGGAGAGACGAAGGAAAGAAGTGGTTTTGTTGGAAATGTTTTAGTGTCTAGAAGTTACTTACATTCGGAATTGTGCACATATATTTGTAAATATGTACATCTGTATGTAATTTTGATATATTTTAAGATATTTGGCAAGATTTTTTCCAAAGTCTGTGTAAAACTATTGCCAGCCTTTTGGCATACTGAAAAAGTGTGAATAAACCTGCAATTTGGTTCGTAAATTGAAACTCTATTTATGGTTTTAGTTACACGATTAAGTTCCGGTTGAAAGTCATAAGTTCGAGGTCGTAGATAACTTCGTATATCTAGGGTCCCTGCATTAACACCAATAATAACGCCAGCCTTCAAATCCTAGACAGAATCACTCTCGCCAACAGATGCTACTTGGGACTAAGTAGGCAATCGAAAAGTAAAGTCCTCTTTCGGTGAACGAAAACCAAACTCTAAGAGACTCTCATCATACCCGTTCTACTATACGGGGCAGAAGCAAGGACGTTGTGGACATCTCATGAGTCGACTTTGGGAGTGTTCGAGAGAAAAGTTTTGCGAATGATTTATGGTTCTCTACCTCCACACCGTTGGAAGCATTAGGCTAAGATCGATCTGGTTTCTTTGGATATTTCGAATTCCAATGTTTCATTTAAAATGCTCCTTAGTTTTCCGAATTCTCAAAAAAAAAAAATCAAATAAATACAGTAAGAGAGGTGAGTGAATTCCCGACAACTTTCCAAGAAGATAAAAAATTTCGTAAGACTCTTCAAATTAACATAAACGTAGCAAAGTTTTTTAATCCTAAATGTTTTGCTGAAGTGTATCGAAAGGAGTGCCGGTTTGATGATAAAAATATCTTCGGTGTTTCGTTAGTGATCTTTGATATTATACAATACAAAAGGTGTTAGTTTTTGGTCGAGTAGTCTTCAATGCAATACTTTTTACAGAGTAGGGTCTTTTTTGACACTGTTACTTTAATCGGAATTAATTTGGTTCGAATTCAATCCGGAATGTTTGCAAACCTGCTCGCGCAAAGCATCACTTGTTGCGTCCAATATTCGCTCAACATAATCGCACTGTGGGTCGATGTTGCACCACGTTTACTCTAGTGAACAATGTGAAACCACGGAGCTGACATCCGGGCCTGGAGCTGTGCTCATGCACTTTAGGTAACATGTTGCAGAAGGATCTTGACTAACAAAATCCAACTTGTGCCAGAATTGAATCTAACTACAATTAAGCGCATCACACTTTCGGTGTATAGATCCAAATTGAAATGACCCCCAATCCCGATTTTCATTCAGTTGAATGGGATCGCTAATATATAAAATTGTCGAATTAGAAGTTGTGATAATCTCCAAGCCATTATTAAGGCGCCGTTAAATCAACAAAATGGCACTGTTTAGTGTGCTCTATGGTCCACCTTTCTTCGAATAGAAAGTCGGTCATAATGCTACAGTCAAAGATGACTGCTAAAGAGCAATGTTCAATAGATTTTTCGTGTCAGAATTGGATACTACAAGATGGCGGTACGGGCCATTCCGATGAGATGAGTATGTAATGGATAGACGTTTGATTTGAGAATTGGAACGTTCTCGCTTCCGATTCGGAAAAACGTATTGATAAAAATGAGTGAATTCATTCATTAACCACATTTAAGTATGACATAGGCCGCCATTATCTGCACCATGATAATTTAGCATGGAGCTCAACTTTCTACCAACATTGATACGGCTCCTACGCTGAACTCCTCGGATATTAATCTGCAGAGGAGCACCTTCGACTATGTAATTTATTGTGTGTCCATAAGGAAGTGCTTAATTGGAGGTAGCACATGTTTCGATCTATGACCAAAACAGTTAAAGCAGTCATAAGTTTATGTAATAAATGTATGCATCTGTGAATGTATGGGCAATGTGGTACAGCAAATAAGTAGGTATGTAGGGGGTGTACTAGAGAAAACGAGACTACCATAGAATCAAACTAAAAAGTTTCTACATTTCGCTTAAAATAGTCCCAAAACAATCAATTATACCAGCGAATGGTGAGCCAACATATACAATTTTCAACCCGTCTGAACAAAAACGGATGTACTCGTATATCAAGCCATACATACGAGCAAGCCTGCACTCCTTCACTACGCAAACGACCGCACTTGCCGCAAAACTCCAGAGCCGCAACAAAATACTCAAAGCGCTAGCCGGCAGCACCTGGGGTAAAGGTACTGGCTACTTACAAAGCAATTGGCCGGCCGGTCGTAAATTATGCTGTACCGATCTGGACGCCGGGGACGGACGAGACGCAGATGAAGAGCTACAGGCTTGCCAGAACATCGCCCTCAGGACCGCGACAGGAAATCTCCTGATGTCGCCGGAGCATCACTTGCACAGGGAAGCATTTTTGCTACGAGTTAAGGAGCATAATGCTTTGCTGTGCAAGCAGTTCCTATTGGGATGCTACCGCAGGGAGCACCCCAGTAGGCACCTAATAGAGGCAGAACCTCCACCTAGGCACATCAGAAAGGGAGTACTACATTTTAATGACACAATCCAGCAACACATACAACAACCGCTGGACAGGACGGCGTACCGACAAGCACTGAACGCCATTTACCAGGAGTCAGTCAACACCTTCAAGGACTCCCTTCCAGTGAATGGCGTACTCGGAGAAATACCACCACCCATAGCAGACAACGAGCTCGAGCTGCCTCGAGAGACCCGCGTGACCCTGACACAACTCAGGTCTGGATATTATAGCAGGTTAAACTCCTACCTATCCAGACTAGGCTCCAGCATACCCAATGTATGCCTTGCATGTGGAGAGTTCCCGCACGACACCAACCACCTCTTCACATGCCCCCTCAAATCCACTCATCTAACCCCCCTCTCCGTTTGGTCCAACCCCGTCGAAACAGCTCGTTTCCTGGACCTACAACTAGATGACCTCGGAGACTTAGACTGATCAAACCTGTGCCTACGCGGGGTTAGCGAACCGAGAAATATAAAGACCGAAATTAAGACCTCCAATCCGCTGAAAAATAAAGTAGGGTGTGCTGACTTCATTTAAGATGAGTTTTTCGTTTGGTCGTATGGCGATGTATATAGTGATAGGGTAGAAAGTTATATGGTGCACTGACATCGGTTCTGCACTTAACGAATTTGAGTAACAGAGTTTCTTTCTGACAGCGCTGGGTCATCTACCAGTTGAAATTAGACGTGGAGCAATACCACACAGGGGTAAAAACATTACTGCGTAGCTTAGTTATATTAAAATGGAAGCGCGGATATTGGTTGGAGAGGAAACAAGGCCTAAACTCTTAACTTAGAAACGCAAAAAGCCGCGTAAAATGTAGTGAGAGATGAGATCGTTTGGAAGATCCGATAGAATTTGCAGAGCCACACTGATGCTAATTCGTACTCGCATGTCAGCGGTGTTAAGGAAGTAACGTTTTTAAAAAGAAATGATATTTTGTATTTGTAAAAACATTGAAACATTTTTCTAGTCATAATTTTCGTCATATTCCGTAAGTACCGTGAGTTATCTAGCGGTTAGGTCGGTACAACCAGCCAAGTTTTTAGTTAGTAAATTTTATTTGAAAGATATGATTAACATTGTAGTCAGGAAAATTGACAGAGTTTGTAAAATGCCCTGCAACCATTGTTACTGGTCTTGTGCAGAATAGAAAGCACTACCCTTTCGTTCGGCTCCCTGTTGTTCCTCCTCATTTGCCTCCAGTATTGCAGAGATGTCGCGACTACTGCCTCTACCGCGAGCTGCACCTCCGTCGGTTTGATCACTTGTGGATTGTCGCTGTGTAATAAATTTATTCATGTCAAAGTCCTCTCTCATGGCGACTGACGATATCCGCGATACCGGTTGATGCCCAGGCGATACCGACTGATACCCAGTGCCACTAAGTTCGGTCAATGCGGCTGCCGGTAAATTTTTTGTCTTCAGCATCTGGGCGAATTTCTCTTTCCGCTTGCGTTGCTTGGCCTGCGAACGCTTCAAGCGATAAAAGTCTTCGCGTTCATACTCCTCCAGTTCGTCGCGTATATAGTTAACGGTATTTTGAAAACGAGGCAATACCACATATTCCAAGCCATTGACACGCATATTGTTTTGACGCACACCATCTTGCAGCGTGTGCACTGAGTACTCCAGCGACGCGAGTGTGACGAGCGTGCGCACCGCATCTTGAAAGCGTTCGCGCACGACCTCTACCTGTTCACCGCCACGTGACAAGCCGGTGAAGGGGCAACTAGATGGATTTTCTACATAAAGATGAAACTGCGGCAGCAGTAAGCCTGCCACTTTGGTATTTCTTATGCGCATATAAATATCCGCGCGCTCCATTCGCATCAGTTCGCAGGCGCGCATGTCGGCGTCCAGGAAATTCGCTTTTGCCATTGAGAAAATGGCATCGGACATCACTTTGTCCACCACCTCACGGGCTGCGTCCAGTTCGCCGACCAATTCGCGGAGTTTCATTTCAAGTGCGTCGCGTCTCCGCTTGAGCAGATTGAGACCACGTGTGGCGGCCACAATGCGCTGCTTCATCAACACGAGATTGGCACGGGATGGGAAAATGTTGAGGCGATCAACCGACATTCCGGTTATTTGCGCTCTTTTTGCTTTTTTTGCGTGGAAACTTTGCTATTATTTTTTTATTTTTATTTTTCAAAATTAAAATAACAAAAAGTGCAAATGAAATTTGAAAATTGTTTGCTTCGTTAAATGTGATAAATATTTGTCGTTTTGAGTGCTTTGGTTATTTATTTTGACAATTTCCATTACAGCACTTATTTTTCTGAATTCTTTTCCACTCAAATATTCACAATCAGCAGCGAGGCTACTGTTATTGTTGGATAAAGTGAAAACAATTGTGGGGCAGAGTTTGAGAATCACATTTTTTTTATTTCAAACACGAGGAAAAGGGATATTCGGGGAAGTAATAGAAACCGACTCAGATTTACTTATTTATCGGAATTGAAAATCAATATCTGTTTGATATGGTGTTCCGAAAACGACTTGGTTATGCTTTTTTCGAAGATAAGCAAAACCGTTATTCGGAACAGCTCTCATCACATTTGTGCAAAAAAAAAAAAAAATCCAAGCGAATCAATTTATTTTTTGTACTGATATGAACACATTTGAGATTATTAAAAATTAAATGACTTCGGCAGAGGTAGCATTTTTGATTATAGGAGGGTGTCTAGAAATAATTCAGATAATAAAGCGCAAAAGTGTAAGGAATAAGAGCAATCCGCTGGAGCTGCCAGAGTCGACGTAAGTGCAATTTGCATTCTACTCTCACATTTTCTGATACCAAATTTCCTTGTATTTAGATTCATTGACCAATATCGTCTTAACAAAAAAGCCTTTGTCATGGTGCTGGATGTCATTGAAGTCTACCACATGTGCTCCAACTTACAGCCACACTGTGGCTTTTGGCAGAAGGCTCGTATTAACAGTCTGTGGGACTCAAATATCTGCTTAGCGCGACATACACTCTCTGAGATTATAACAAAAATGTTAAAGGTTTTTGAACGTTTGAACTGTCCACGTTGGATAATTTTAGGAACGAACGACAATGGAAAACGGAGAGCTCGCGACATCCTGTACCGCGTTCCAGGCATTGCTGGTTGTATATTTCCGCTTGCAAAGAAATTTGCAGACAATTCTGTCAAAGAATAACCGATGAGTTTAATTCTGACATTTGAACGGATAAATCGGTTTCTGTTAAACCTAAAATCGACACAAATTCTGTTTCGAAAATGAGACCGATATGCAAACGAATCATCGGAATGTGTAACCTCTTTAACAGAATTTTGTCGGTTTCATTTTTTTCCGACAACAATCTTTTTCTGTAACACTCCTGATTGAAATTATTATTTAAATATCTAATATATATGTTTGTATGTACAAATAATTAAGTTAACATTTATATGACGAGAGAGATCACACGTTCGCATTAAATCGAAAAAAAAGATAACAGCCCTTAATTAGTCAAAATATTGTTTTTTTTTTTTGATATATTATTGATCGAACTGTCTATTTGTATGTGCATCACTTGTTCGCTGTTCAAATACTTTTATGAAAATGGAAATGCCCCGAAGTAAGCCAAGCGCTTCATTCGGATTTATGCTTATCCACACTCAAGTTGAACGTATGAGAATAGCTTGAAAGCCCAACATACAAACGCACGATCTATGCCTCTGCCCAAATCATTTTCATTTTCGTGAATCTGTCGGGGAACCCGTTTCCATAAAATGTGGATTTTTTTATATTTCCAGGAAATTCAACTTGGTTCCAGATAACTTGTCCTTTTCCAGGAAACCAAAATCAAAATATTTAACTAAACTGATCCATGAATATGACTGGTCAGCTTCACGTAAAAAAGAGCTTCTAGTAAAAAAATCATTGTTTATGTTAAAAGGCACCTATCAACCACCAAAGAATGGGTAGTACTCTAGCTAATATTAGCAAAATGTCTTCTAATATCGGTTGTAAACTTCTCCAGATACCATTGACAAATTTTAAGTACAAGTAGGGTAGTCTCGGAGATCATTGGAAAAAAAGGGTTTAATTGGCTGCCGGGCATCAGATCACCTAGGCGCTAAGCGGGCGCATTGTGGTACCCCTGAGCATGCTAATTACCAACATCCGCCAATCAAAACAATCAAATTTTCACCAGTTTGACTGCGACTTTGTCCACATTGATTTGTTAGATGGTTCTAATAAGAGTTTTATAATTGTTTTATTTTAATATTATTTATAAACTATTAAGGAAAAGTTTTCCACATTTTACCTTAGACAAAAAGCTTTCTTTGCTCCATATTTCAAGCACAGACCGATCTATTCAGAAAGATTGTATTTATGATCTTTCTGAATAGATCGGTCTCAAGTTCACTTCCAGACAGAAAAGTTCTTCACATATTCACCTTTGCAAACCGAACCGATCCCAGGTCCACATTTCGGTGTAAAAAGTCTTCCCCATATCAATTTAGGCAAAGAGCAGTCTCTTCAATCAAATCCAGCCTAAATCGAATGACTTTAAAATAAGTTTAATTTTTTCGAGTAGAACGCTCGAACATCCACTTCCTGGAAAACCATGTCTCATCTTCGGATGCCTATGACAGAAGGAGAATACAGCCCCCAAAATTCAGGTCTCCGCGATCAATCATTCAGGGCCATACTTTTTGTACATACGTGTATCTATGAATAATATGCCCTCCTTCTTTTTGTGGTGAAATGCTCATCACTGTCTTTTCCTCGCAAATTGAGCGGCGAATGGCTGATAAATTCGTTAAAAGAGCATTTTAATTTTGTTTGTAATAAATACAACATAAAAATGGGCAATAAAAGTTTGGTAACAAATTTTCTGTAAACCACTTTGGAGGTTATAGTTTTGGAACCGCGAGTTTGGTTACCTCTGATGGCGGCCATTCTTCAAAACAAACCTTCATAAATGTATAACCAGTGGGATAGCATGAGTACCGTTATTATAGTCATTAATTGCGTTAAGTATTTTTTAAACTTTCTCTAAGTTACTTCCCTGGAAGGGGTTCTTCGCTACAATTTATTTAACAGGAAGAGCCATAAAGTCATTAAAATTCAAATTTCATTAATAAACAACTCCAGATTTCCACTCATACTTCGCAAAGCTCCGCAGTGTAATGAAAGAAATCTTGAGCTTTTGAGAAGAAATCCACCTCGCTGTTAGTTAACCTTAGCTGCGTAGCTCACAGAAATCAATGAACAGCGTTACCCACTCTATTCCTGACTAAGAGTTCCCTCTATTTTTACCATCTCTAACAATTTTCCCTTTCATCTACACCCATAGCTCTCCCTTTCCATATTCTCTTATGAAAGGCTATTTTTAATTTTCAAACAATAATCCGCAGTTTACACGATCCCCTACTGATAGCTACATGGTGCTGGTGATAAACATATCTTTATTCGGGTTTACAAGTTCGAACTTTGGATCTTAGGAGCGCGACATTTAGCAGGTCTCCCGTTTTGCCTGAGTATTATGTTTGCATAAAAAACCAGAACAGGTAAGATTTGATATATTCTTTATTAGCTATTGCGGTTTTGTCACGTTTCATAATCAGTCTTACAGGCTTCTTAGTTTATTAAATTATTCCTCAAAATGTCTCTGTTGTCTCTCTCTTCCGCCTTTATCCCTTATTTCCTCGAATCCGCTGCTTCGTCTTCCTGCGGCTTCAGTTTCTTCAACAACTCCCAGTAGAGTGGCGATTGCACCGTTGACTCCAGCACTCTACGCGTCTTGCGCAGATAAACCTTCCGATTGCCCTTCGCTTGAAGAGCGCGGTAATTATTTTCCATGGCAATGCCGTGATCATCCTGCAATTTGTGGAAACGCGTCATTTGGCTGGACGTTATGGTGATTGGTTGTGCGAACACTAACCAAGTAACGGCCTGCGAACATGGTGGTGTGGTCAAGGAGCCTGCATAGGTGTAGAATTCAGAAGTATCCAAATCCCCGAGTAAAACAGAAAGCAGGAAATCATCGATTTCGGTGGAGCGATTAAATTCGGAAATGGACTCCAAAACATTAATGACCTCGTTCAAGCCTTCAAAGTCGGTAGTAGCATTCGCCTAAGCATGGGAAGGATAGAGGATTAAAAAAAAATGCATAACTTTTGCATTTACACTTTAACTCACCTTCACTTCGTACAGCACCGCCAACACAGCCAAACCATCCTCGTAGTTGCGCGCCACTTCCACCGTCTCGTACTTTGTGTTTCGATGCAGCAGATGCATCTCCATGGAGTAGCGTTCGCTGTTGAGCACATGCTCGGAGCCGTGAGTATTCTTGGAGCCCCAATGGAAATGCAAACTTTCCATTATGTAAGTTGTGCCATTGGGCAGTGGACCACCAGAGATGTAAGCGGCATCCGATCGTGTTGTTGGCAATTGTATATTCGCTGTATGACCGTTATTCTCGGTTCTAACGGCTTTCATATACGGCACGTCATAGTGTATGAATCCCAACTGTGGCATGTCATACGAAATGGTAGCCTTATATGTGGAATGAAAAGGAAGAAAGAAATGAAAAAAAAAAAATTTTTAACTTTTTATGAGAAATCACGCTTTGCTGCAATAATTAAGGGGTTTCACAAAATATCATTTGTTGTCGTAAAATTATTGTATAAAATAATAAACAATAGTTAAATGGAAGAGTATTAAATTTTAAGATTTTATTAAATTATAACACAGACAAATGATGACAACTCGTGAAAGCCCTAAATATTTGTTTGATTTTATGGACTTAAATTGAAGTGACAATAAAAACTGTTTGAGTGACATTTCTGAACGGATTTCATTATCTCATCACTGTTGTCTTAGGTCAGGTTCTTTTTCCAGTCACTTAGGAATTGTTGCTTTTGGTTTTACTGCTATCACTTTATTGCTGTAAAGCACAGAATTTTCTCGTATCGAATTATCATTTATAACGGTAATAAAACCACGATAAAAAACTAGAGACGCAATAGCTTGGGAATATTCCGTTAGATTGATAAATTATAATTTAAATTCCATTTATGGGGTAGCTAATTGTTTGGAAAGCAAATAAAAAGTTTTTGATAAGAAAATTAGTGGCAAAACTGCACAGATGTCAGCCACATTAAAGTGTTGTTTTGTATGTAATTTTGATGTTCTCAGGTGCTTAATTGAGTTAATGAAAAAAAAACAAAACAAAAGAACCAACGGTATTTATAGGTTACAGTAGTCTGTTAGCAACAGATGTGTATGTTGAGGATTGCCGCGCTGTAACGGAGAGCAAACACTACACTTGAGGTTGGGATAGATACCGAAAACTGAAGAAGGAGGCGTGGCGTATTTGTGTGAAGTGTTTGATAAGCTGGCCGACCGGGATAACTCTGGAAAATGCTGTGAAAATTACTTAGAGAAGGTTTCAAGACCGAACTTTAAATATCCCATTAAAGACCCTGCCGATCATATTGGGTAAAAGACTAAAGCCCACATTTGTTGATGGTGGATTGGATCTTATCAGTTTGGGCATCATTGACCAAGTATTCACTATGATTGAAGTTTAGAAATAAATTCATGAAAAGGATGTGATCTAGCGGAATGGTTATGATAACGGGCGAAATGAAGACGAAATATAACATAGAGGCAGAAAAATACCTACACTTCGTTGGGAAGAACAGATGGAGAATTATCTAGTTGTGGGAGCGCGACCCTTCGAGAAGTGGTAGGTATTCAGTAATTTGCAGACGATCGATGCAAACGGAATATCACGGCCTAGAAAATCATTAATTTTTTATGCTTCCTCTGAATCAAGGAATATTTATCTATCGAAACTTATGGAAATATTACCTCATTGGAATTTAGTTCAATTGGAGATTGGCGGTTAAAGCTGCATTCCTGGAAATTGTCATACCATTTTGATTGATGCTCGTAATCGAAACTACTGCCTACAAATAAAAATAAGAAGTAAATTTATTTGTCTCATTCTTAGAGATCGACTGAATTTTTCAGACGAAAAAGTATTTTTACAATTCAATTTCGAATTGTTTCTCAAAAGGATGGCTAGACAAAAAGTACGAGATATGTTAAAAAATTACGAGAATAATAAATTTTCGAGAGCATGGATAGTCCAATCGCACATATTTTTTTATTATGTTGCTATACAAGCCCCAGAAGTGTGATAAAACTTTTCACTATGAATATCACATGTCACATACTTCAAGATATTTAAATTTTTTAAAAAGGTTTACATAAATGTTAAAATTAATATAGATTGGAGGCTTATTTATCATAGCTAGATTTATCCGAATTATATCAAATGTACACCATTTCCTTCAATAACATTTTGTCATTTTGAGGGCAATGTCTTGAACCCCTCTTGTAGATACCCTTCTCCCTACTGGCAAAATATTTAGACAATCGATTTTCACAGGCTTCTCTTGAGCTCTTTTTTCATCAACAAAATTATTAAATATTAACGGGAACCTTTGGTGACTACTTGGTGCGAGGTTCGGACCATAAGATAGATGCTTAAGAATCTTCCAATCAAGCTCTTGGGGCTTCTGGCGAGTCAGTATCGATGTGTGTGGTCTAGCGATGTCCCTAGGAATCAGAATTTATTACGGTTTATGTTCGAGTAAAGAGTTTGGGAGTAGCTCGTGGTGGATGATTCCTTACGAATCCCACCAAACGCACTTGGCCGTCAATCCTGACTTGAAGACTGTTTGTGCCGGCTCACTGCCCTTCGATCAATACTGTTTTTGTTTGAAGTTGTCATGGGTTATCCACTTTTTATCACCAGTCATCATCTACCTCCAGCAACGATTCACAGACGCGTTTCTCGCGTTAACTTATGCGGCACCCATACATCGCGCTTCTTGTGTATCTAACCTTTTCAAGTGGTTTCAAACTAATCGACATAGTAAACAATGCCCACATGATAGTTAGACTCGTTATAGACATTTTCGAAAATTTGGCTTTCTACCGGAACTGAATCGACGAAACCGAAATTGTGCATAATCGACTGTTACACCATTCACATTTTCACCTGTCCGACTAGCGTTTTCGCTTTTGTATACTATATATATATATATATTCATAATATATATATATTGGCCCTTTAAAACGCAGAGGGGATTTTCGGGCGAGCTCCTATAATGTATTAATTTTTACTTGACCAATATTTTGTAGAAATTTTTCTTATTTTTATCTTTTTATTTCAAACTCACTCGTTTACATTTAAAAAGTTCTAACTAAAAACAGAAATCCAGTTTCAAAAACAAATTTTTTCAATATAGATTATAGTTTTTAATACTAGAATTTTCTTTTAAGTAGTATTTTAAACTCGCAAATAATATTTCAAACGTTCTAAGTTTAAAATAAAATTGTACATATTTTAGAATTTCACCATTTAGATTCAGATGCAATATTCCATTTGGATTTCACAAAAGTAATCAAAAATCAAAAGGAAATTTCCATTACAAAAAAAAAATTTTAAAAATTTAGAATAATTTTTTTGTTTCCTGCATGATCTTATAGTGAAACCATTTAAATATATTTTTATAACTTTTTTCCCACACACACACACACACACCTTTAACATTATGTGCGTAAAATATGCAAAATGCTGCAAAATAAATTCCAAGCTGTGACATTTTTTATTTTGTTTTTTTTTTTTTGAAAAAAAAACAGTTCAACTTTTTAAAAAATAATTTTAGTAAAACAAAAATTATGTTTTTAATATTAATAAATTTGTTAAAAAACTATTAAACTCGTACTTTAGTTCAATTCACATTTAATTCTTAACTACAAGTGAAAAGCAGTTACTACTCCTCTAGCAAATTTATACAAGTCACTAGATGGCACATTAGGCGGATTTCACAAAAATTCCAACAATAACTCACTGGCACTCTGCCCTTTCTTGTTCCCCTCACTTGCTCTATCACTGTGACTGTCTCTCTCTCTCCCTCTCTCTTTCTCTCTCTCTCTTTCTCTCTCTCTCTCTCTCCGTCGTTCTTCGTCTGGACATTTGTTAATTGGTTTTATCAAACAATTAACGCAGATATCTGCGTTTTATCAAAATTCATAAAATATCTTTATGGAATTGAAGGCGTGTAGCTTCGCGTAACGGTATCTAAGGCAATAATAATAAAAATTATAAAATCCACGGAAATTAAAAGTAAAAAGTGCAGATAAATAAAAATTTGCTTAAACAAATACAGACATTTCATCACTTCTCCTTACATACATACATACATACATAAATATATATGTACACACTCCCGCGTGCACATTAACACATTTACATGCATATGATAACATTTACTCTACTTTGCCGCTTACTTAATTGAGATTTCTTTATTTTAGATTAAAAAAAAATAAAAATAAAAAATAAAATGAAAATGCAGATTCAACTTAATTAGGAAACGGTATATATATATGTACACTTGCATACATTTAGACATTAATATATTTGGTAACTCATCTGCAGAGTGTTAGCGTGCGCCGTTATCTTTTATGTGAGTATGTATATTATTTACGTACATGCGCGGCTTGTAAATTTTAACTCAATTTCTTCGAAACGCCGGCGGTTGTGTCAATAAAGTCGCCGGCACACATATTTAGTGTATAATTTTTGTGAATGAAAGTAAAACGATTTACGAGGTTTGTACAACGAAAGAGCGGACTTCTCGAAATAGCAGAAAATTAAGTTTAGCCTAGCCAGTTTGTAAGGTAGAAACTGTCAAATATATCTTAAATTTTTTTTTTTTCATATTTTCTTCAATTTATTTAATGCTTTCGAAAGCTTTATCAACAATTCCTATAAACTTTTGTTTTGAATTAAGCGCTACTAAATTAATTTAAGTGAGGTTTTTTCATTGCAACATTGTAATTTTTATAATATCATAAATGAAAGGGATGCAGAGAGAAGACTCCATTTAATAATATTATATGTTACTTTTTCCTCTTTCTCATAAAAATACCATCTCATTTGACAACAGAAAAAAAATTTAACTTTGGCTTTGGCACATGCAATTCAACTCATACACACATATACACACACACTTGCATGCAATGAATATGTCATTACTGCACATTCCCCAAGCCAGCACAGTTAATGCAAACAGTCAACGGACATGGCTGATAAAGTGGCACCAAAAACAAAGTAGACAATGCAACGAAGGCAAAAATGAAGCAAACGCAAACGCAAAAGCAAAAATAAACGCGCTTTCGGGCGGAGCAGTCAACGGCAACAGAATAATAACTAGAGATACTCGTAATGTGAAGACAGGAAGCTAGAAAAAATGCGGAAAATGTGGAAGGAAGAACCTTAAGTACTGACAAAAGCGCCAACGGAAGGATAGAGAGGGCGTAAAGTGGGCAGCTGTTGCTGTTGGCCAGCCAGTTGGCGAGTGGAGAGTGTGGAGAGAAAGTAGCAGCTGTTTGGCAGGAAGTGACACATCCGTTCTTTCACGACAATGCCTTAACTCGCACTGTTGCTGATGTTGTGACGCACAACAACACTGTACATATGTTGTTGTTGTTGTAGCTCGTTCGTTAGTTTATTACTTTGTTAGTTTGTCATATGTGAATTTTTATTGTTGTTGCACTCATTACTTATGTCAATGCACATGAAATTACAATAAAATTTGCAGAACTGATGTTGTTGTCATAAAAGCGGAATTTATAGATTGTGGCTAAGTAAATGTGGCAATAACGACAAACTGAAATTGTTAATGAGAAGAAAGTATACAATTAACCGAATGTAAGTACTCTTGAAGATTATGTTTTTAGATATTTATTAAGTTTTGCCTACATAAAATGTTGCTAAACATAAAATGTTGCTAAACATAAAATGTTAAAAAAATGTGTTTAATTTTTACATAAAATATTGCTCATGCAAACATTTCTTAAAATATATTGCTAACCATAAAATGTTGCTAAATATAAAATGTTGCTAACCATAAAATGTTGCTAAATATAAAATGTTGCTAAATGTAAAATGTTGCTAAATATAAAATGTTGCTAGATATAAAATGTTGCTAAATATAAAATGTTGCTAAACATAAAATGTTGCTAAATATAAAATGTTGCTAAATATAAAATGTTGCTAAATATAAAATGTTGCTAAATATAAAATGTTGCTAAATATAAAATGTTTGTTGCTAAATATAAAATGTTGCTAAATATAAAATGTTGCTAAACATAAAATGTTGCTAAACATAAAATGTACCTAAACATAAAATGTTGCTAAATATAAAATGTTGCTAAATATAAAATGTTGCTAAATATAAAATGTTGCTAAATATAAAATGTTGCTAAATATAAAATGTTGCTAAACATAAAATGTTGCTAAACATAAAATGTACCTAAACATAAAATGTTGCTAAACATAAAATGTACCTAAACATAAAATGTTGCTAAACATAAAATGTTGCTAAATATAAAATGTTGCTAAATATAAAATGTTGCTAAACATAAAATGTTGCTAAACATAAAATGTACCTAAACATAAAATGTTGCTAAACATAAAATGTACCTAAACATAAAATGTTGCTAAACATAAAATATTGCTTCACTTAATATGTTGTTAAATATAATATACTGCTAAACATAAAATATTGCTGAGCATAAAATATGGCTAACTTTAAAAGGTTGATTGACATAATATGTTGCTAAATGCAAATTTTTGCTGAATATGAAATGTTGCTAAATATAATATGTTGCTTAACATAATATGTTGCTAAACATTTTTTTACATAAAATATTGCTCATGCAAACAATTATTTTTGCAGAAAGGCTGTAAATCTTACTACGTTGGTAGGTGTAAGCCATAAAATTTGTGCAAAGGCGTTAAGAAAGTATTTTTTCCTTCTATTTTCTCATATATTTATTTGTTATAGACATTTCCGAGACACTTAAAACTCAACTTTTATACAAATAGATAGATCACGGATAAAAATATATTTTTTTAATTTATCTATATAAATGTCGAACGGCATATTATCTTAGATACTTACAGATAATCTAACAATTTGTTATTTATTTCAGAATTTTGGATTTTTTGACATAATATATAGACAACTATTAATTAATTATATATTTATATACACTTATATATATTTATTATTCCTATTCGTTACAAAAATACCTTTTGGAAATCGAAAAAAGAATCAAACTGATTGCCAATTAACTTTTCATTTCATTTCCTTTTACCTGCCGATTCGAACGGAGAAAACAAATTAAACGCAACTTAATTCAGATTGGCAGCGCACAGGATTGCCGTCGCGCAAATCAGATGGAAATACTTACCATTTTTCATTCAAAAAAAAAAAAAAAAAAAACTTGCCTGCTGAAGTACGTTTAACGAATGGCTGAAATTAATTTTTAGTTTTCTTTTTCGCTTTTATTTTACGCCAAAATGGCTGAATGCCAGCAGTAAAATAGAAAATAAACACGTCTTTATTGTTCTTGCCGCAGCAACACGGACTATAACGCAGTGTGGCCAGCAACAGCAATAGTTTCCGATTTAAAGTGGTAAGTTGCAGCCGTTTATAAACACAAACACACACACACACATACACACACACACACACACACAGTCAAACGCACTACATGCAAATTCGGAATATATTTATTTCAAGCAATTTGTGTCCAACTGAGTTTCACTAGGCCCTCAGCAATGGCTTTTTCGCTGCTGCGTTGCCAACAAATTGTTGCTACTAAGGGCTTCAAAAAATATGCAATATTACTGCAGCACAACGCGTGCAACAACACCAACAAGAACAACACCAACAACCACGAAATGTAACAACTTTTCACATTTGTTACAGCGAGAAATTCCAATTTGAAGTCGCGTTCGGTAATTTGTATGTCGTAATGCGTGGCTAGGAAAAAAGTTTTGACAACCAAGCCGAGTAAATGCGCGCTCAGTGGCATACAGCACACACACACATAGACTAGTTTTTAGTGAGTTGAAAAACGAGCAGCACTCTAAGCGTAAAATGTGCTACAATCTCATTGCGGGCAATTACACGCAAAACTACTCAAAAAACTCTCTCTTCCAACCCATCCACCTCATCCACACACCCGCTATACTAACTACCTACCGCCTTAAAACGGCGTACCACCCCCACCGATACAACAACACCAAGCGCTCATTCGCTTCCGCACAATTTAAATTGAGTTTAATTTTATGTGCTTCCTTCCGATAGCTTCGCACCAGTTTCGCAGTTAAATTTGCTGGAAATCTCTTAAGCTGAAAAAAACTTTCCCTTAAACACACGCCTCCATAACTTACAACAAATGAGAGCAACAACAATAACATTAAAATTATAGTAAAAAAAGGACTGTAATTTTTAGCTTCGGTTCCAGAGGCGCACCAAACTCTCGTAAGTACAACTGGCACTACAACAACTTTTGACCTCAAGAAAGTCAGCAACAACAATAACATGAATAATGAATAAAAATTGAGTATCAAAATTTGTTCACTTCGTACTTCGCAGTCTGCATCTGCTGATCGCCACTTGATTTTCCGAAACTGTATTTTGACTGCTGCGCAGAAGACTTCACCATAGTCTCCCTTGTATTTTAATTTAAAATCCTAGGTCTTAAGGCGAGTGAAACAATATCAAAGAAATATTTTTCTAGACTTTCTTTTTATCTTAAAGTGACTGAAATCAGGTCACGATTAAAAGAAGCCATGAAGAGTTCGGTTTTGGTTCTTAAATTTCCAGTTTAAAAATTAAAATCACAACATTTTTAAAGAAGTCTAACATTTATCGTTTCGGAACTCTGTTCATCTAAAAGACAATTAAACTTCTGTGAGTCCTTGTG